TTTGCTTAGTTTTTGAGAGATTTATCAGCTCATCATTTGTCCATGGGTTCAGTTTCTTCTTTTTGTTTGCTCTCCGCTGACATTAGGATAGATGGATTATAGAATGAGATTACATTAAATTGTTCCAATCCTAGACCTAATTTCAGATGGACATATTGAATATCCTCACCTTCTGATTTAAAATCATGACAATTTATTTTTGTGCTTACATAGCAGGAGATACCTCCACCTTCTTTTTCCTTTCTTGTTATATTATATGAATTAAAGCCAGGAATATTAAAGAATTTCAATTCAGATTCATCTAGCCAAGTCTCAACAAGGGAAATAATTGCTATACCAGGATATGCATCAATGTATGATTTTATTTTATCAAGCTTCTCCTTTGCTCTTAAGCTTCTGACATTGAGATATAGGCAGGAAATTGCTTTATCTTCTAGTTTAATATTTTCAATAGGAGAGTGTTCAACTCTATGGTTATGACACTCCATGACAGGTATTTAAGTCAATTACTCTGTTTTTATTTTATTAATAGCTTCACTAATGTCTTCAATGGTTTTGATTTCATATCTTGCGCTACTTGTTTTTGCACCATTGCCTTCTTTAGGAAGGGATTTTTTGATCCAGATTTTGGATGCATCATCCACCCAGACATGGGTCAGGATGTTTTCTTTAATTTTAAGGTTTTTGGACTCAAGCCTGGCCTTGTAAGCTATGTAGCTTTTCTCTTTTGTCAATAGCACATTTAGGAAGATTCTTGAGTGGTCCCCATCGTATCCTATCTGGCTGGCTAAGATCTTCTTGCCTTGCCTCTTGTACTTCAGTTCGTTACAAAGTTCCCTTTGAACAAATTTAACCACTATTGGGTTGCTGATTTTACGTGGATCCCTATGGATGGCATCTATATTAGATTTATTTATAGATACATTGCAGACTTTCCCAATGTCTCCGATGATTTCAAAGAGATTTTCATCCTCAACCGATGGTACACCGAAGATTTCAAGAGTGTTTCTTCTCCCATATTCATTCATATGATTAATAGTGTCCATACATCTGTTAAGATCTTTTTGTAGAGCTTCATTTTTAGTTTCAAGTGCATGAATCCTGCGAGTGTTCGCGTCCGCCTGCTCTTCAACCAACTCAAGCCGACTTTTGATTTGCTCTACTCCAGTCTTCAAGTCATGGAGCACTTCAGCTTGTTTATCAAGTTTAGAGTTCATTTTTTCATCTTGAAGCTTCATTTGCGCTAGTATGGCTTGAGTTCCATTATCTAGGTGACTTGTGCTGTCAACATCGAGCATGCCGGCTGGGCGACTAACCTCACTATCTTGACAGTTCTTGCATTCGTATATAAAGTGATTCTCAGTAGGTCCTGATTGGAGTTTTCTTGCACATTTGGTCTTGTGGACTGGCTTGAAGCATTTTCCACAGTCCTGTGCTGCAGATCTCCCGTCAAAACTTTTTTTACACACATAACACAACTCGTTGCCTCCCATCGTCTCACCGCCTTGTATTTAACATATGTAAATTTTGTATATACTCCTTTCATAAGCACAAGTCAATTAACTGCTCACTCTCTGCAGTAAGTAAGAATAATCCTGCATAGCATCATCCTTGTTCTGGAGAAAGAACTAACATATTTAGACTTCCCAAACGCCTACCTACTTGAACTGAAATTCTGTTGAATAAAGATAATCTTCAACATTTCTAAGTCTGAATATAAGTCTGTCTACATTTTAAGCATCTGGTTAGTTTCCACACCATTATTTTTCTCTTAGATCAAGTGATGTAAAATAAGTTCAAAATAATATTGCTAAGAAGTAATTATTCTTTACTTTTCAAAAATCAGAGCTGGACATGTTAAATTACATCAGTACAGAAGTGGGGAGAGAGAATGTTAAACTTTAAAAGGTGGAAGGAAATTAATTAGTTGTTAAATCCCACACAATGATACTGCAAGTATTCTTGGAAACAATATGGGGAAAAAGTCCTCGTTAGTCTTAAAAGAAAGCAGATTTAAAAATATATATATAAATACATATATTTCATCAATACCATAAACATACTATCAATACATAACTAGGTTGAAACTTTCGTTTTAGGTGCTTATTATTTGAGAGGTCTAAACTGCTAACAATGTCTAAAGAAAATATACATACATTAACATTAACATAAGACACAGCAACAAGTTAAAGGAAATGTGACTACAGATTCAGATAAGAAAAGCAGATTGAATAGATTACATTATTCTTTGGTACATCATGTTGATAAAGATATTTTACAGAAAATAAAATTACAAAATGGGGAAACATCTAGAGGACCCCCCTCCTGGAGGACCCCCCCTAATATTTTTAATATTAAAATAATCCAGAAAATCAGAATAATATTTTT